CGGGGTTATATACGCGTTGGGATTCCTTTTGTCCTAGAGAACGAAATATAAACATAATTAGAACCCTAGTTCATAGGGCATTAATGATATGTACGGAGTCATTCTTGGATGATGAAATTAATTTTGTGAAGGAAACCTTATGTGGTTTAGGGTATCCCCCCCCCCGATACTGTTTATTCGGTCATCGGGAACAAGATTTTGGAGTTCAGAAAGGTCAAACTTTGTACAGTTAAAAAGTGCTCTGTTTATCTTAGACTACGCTGGATTGGATCCAAGTGTGGAAGTATAACTAGGCAGATTTCAGCTAATGTTCGTCGTTGTTTTTTTTTTTTCTCGGCTGAGGACCGTATAGTTTTCCAAACTCGGCTTATATTTCGTTCTGGGTACAACGAGGCTCTCCTTCTTCATCAAGTTAATTCTATTGTTTATAAATATAATTGTAGTTTCGGTGCTGACTACATAGGGGGAACTACTCAACGCCTGGACATGAGAATCAAACATGTTCCTACTCAGATCAGGAATCACACCTGATATTTGAATGAACTTGTCCCAAATATTTATGGTTCCGCCATATGTGAGCACCTTTTAAATAACAGAAGGTGTGCTACTAATTTTAGTGCTGAGTGGTTCAGTCTGAAGTCGGACGACCGGCTGACCAGCTGATCGGTTGAACTCTCAGCCTTCGGGTGGGGACGAACCCGAACGAGTCTACGCCGAAGGGCGGAGTCTCTTTCGGGGAGGTAAACAGACCCTGAACCAGTTTATACGGTTCAAAGGGCATAATTTTGGCCAAGCCCACGGGCCTTGTGCCACATGATAACCTTATGGGGGGGTGACTAAATACTAGTGCTGATTTGTTCATTGTTGTGTCCTGGTCACACTCTCTATTTCATCTCAAGGTGCTGAAGGCATTTTATATCGGGTCCGAAAACAGTTCCCTGGGTAAACAGCGTGGGTATTTGTTGGAGCTTGTTGTTATTTGTCTCTAACTCTTTGTGTCCATTTTTTCTCCTCTTCATCACACATTTTCCTGTTGTTTTAATCTGAGTTAAATCTTCCGTAGAGGCCTGAAGAGCGGGAGCGAAACCGGTTACTTCGCTTTTAAAAACGTCATGTAATATTAAGATACACACTTTCATTTCTTTAATTAGATTTTGTAACTTTAAAAATATTTTCATATATATATATATATATATATATATATATATATATATATATATATATATATATATATATATATATATATATATATATATATAAAAAAAAAACAGACCATTTTAAGGTACCATTATAATAATTTATTTCACCAGAGCCATTTTAAATGACGCCGGATCATCAGATAGCACTTCCAAAAATGAAATGAAACCAAAAATGAAATTAAAATCGATGGGTAGTTTAAGTTTTTGTAATTTAACAGAGTGTAAAAGGAGTAGTTAAAGAGACATGGTAGAGTATAGGGAGGGATTAATTTTCATCTCTCTCTCTCTCTCTCTCTCTCTCTATCTATCTATCTATCTATCTATCTATATATATATATATATGCAAAGACGACGTCATTATATATGCATTGAAGGATTCTCTTTCAACCAACTTTTTCAAAAGGTGGACGTTGGTGCAAATAAAAAAAAACTACAGAACCAATAACTAAAATAGCAAAAAAAAATTTGGAATATGATTAAAACAAATTTTAATTGGAAATAATTGACGATTAAAAACAAATATTAAAATGTTTCAAAATAGAAAAAATCTATATCCATATCTCTCTCTTTTTTTTTCTTTCTTTCTATCTATCTATCTATCTATCTCTCTTTATATATATATATATATATATATATATATATATATATATATATATATATACAGATAATGAAAATACTGAAATATATATATATATATATATATATATATATGTATGTAGATATTTAGATAGAGAGAGAGACAGAGTGAGAGAAATAGACCATGAACATAAATTGATAGACCTTTTATCTGTCTATCTGTCAGTCTGTCTGTGTGTCTCTGGCTAACTGTGTGTCTGCTGATTTATCTATGTCAATCTATTCAACGCAACTCTCCCGTTGCACACAGATGCACAATCATGACCAAACAATATGTCGAAATCTATCTGCTGATAATGAGATGCGTTTAAATCTTGCTCTTCCTTACAATGAATCTCTTTTTCCGACGTCTGATATTTGAATTGAATTCATTAATTTCATCCGTTTAAGACTTTCCTTGTAATTTCAGTTTATTTTATTTTATTTTGCATTTGTTCATTTTCGCTGCAAATGTTTTCTTTCTTTCATTTTCTCTTTTTTTTAATTTTTTTTTTAGTTTCCCAATGTCTGTTTTTTCCATCGCTCACAGCAAGAAAAAAATACATATAAAAATGTTAAATAAATAAATTAAAATAAATTAAAAAAAGTAAGAAAAGGCAAAAAAATAAATAAATAAATGTCAATTGCTTGAATTCAGATTTCTTTCCAATTTGAGTAAACGATTTTCTTTAACTCTGTATTCTTTTCGCTTTTCTGTGGATTGCTGCTTTTTATTTCTCCTTTCATTAAAAAAAAATATTTTATACAAGCGGCAAACTAAAATTAGTCCTTTTAACTGCATATTCGTCAAAAGAAAATACAATAACTATCGGACAAGTGTTTAAACTAACAATGGCTTCCTTTTTAAAAACAACAATAGTGTTTGTCTCAAAATTGACGTTCTTTCTTTGCCAATCGAAAATGAGATTCACCGTCGAAATTGCAAATGGCTTCACTTTGGAAATAATTCACAAAAGGTTAGCATCGAAAAATTACTGTTGCTTCTGGGTAAAAATAAAAAAAGGAGGAAAAAAGAAAGAAAGAGATATAATTGTTGTGGCTTCCTCGGCAAAAAAAAACAAAAAACTTTCTCATTAGAATTTTATCGATAGAGCGATTAAGCATAGTAAAAATTAACTTATTACGAAACCAATATAACAAAAATCTGACAGTCGACATCATTTTGCATTAGGAAAAAATAGGTTAGTAGTACGTAGTCATATTTACAAGCTTTATCTTTCAGGTTTAGTCATATATAATAATTCAGTGTTTGATAATCAACTATATTTTTCAAAATCATTCTTTTATTAATCATGATCATTCGACCGTAGTCGGGATTATCGAGCCAATCCGAACGATTCGTTCTTTATCTCTATAATATGTGTTACGCCAGGGCTACATAGAGTTTTGAATTCAGAGTTACTTTCTCCTAGGCCGGTTGACAGCCAAGGCTATAGAACCCAGTCTGTTAATGTGTCGACCGTAGTCAGAATCATCAAACCAATGCGAACGATTGTTTCTTTAGCTGTATAGTATGTGCTACGCCAGGTCTACATACAATTTTGAATTCAGAGTTACTTTCTTCTAGACCGGTTGCTATTCAAGGTAATAGAACCCAATCTGTTCTGCTATTTATCCATAGGTGGGGAGAGAAGAAGAAGATTCATTCCTTTCCTAAGGCTGTAAGTAAATGTAATGGAGCCGACTGGATTTCGAAATTGCCTATCCAAATTTTCAAAGCCGCTATCAATCAATCCACCGTGCCATTATCTAATCAGACTACTTTAAATTAAATGTATTTCACGCTTTCACCAAAACAAATTTTTAGGTATGTCATGTTCCCTTCTGCTCCTGTGTGCTTATAGATGGTATTATTTTAGTCCCGTGATCGAAGTTTGAGCTGGCTCGCGCCAGTTTTCTTGCTGCTGTTACAATGTGAACATGGCCGCTCCGCTAGCAGTGTGCACCAAGGAGAAAAAAAAGTAATAATCGCTTGGCGCAAGGTCAGAAGAATATGATGGATAGGGTAGAGCAGAGCAGACCAACCATAAACTTTTTTTCCGTGTTATTCTTTTCGTCCAAACTTTGATGGACATATTGCAACTGCTGGAAATTTAAATATGCATTTAGTTTTTCATTGCTTCTATGAACTCGAAATAAATGATACCACAATGGTTATGAACAACACAACCTTTTTTCCCCGGCTTTCAACTTTTACATATCGGTTGTGGAGATTTATTCTTGTCAATCATTCTTTTATTAATCATGATCATTCGACCGTAGTCAGGATCATCGAGCCAATGCGAACGATTCTTTCTTTATCTGTATATTATGTGAAACGCCAGGGCTACAAACATTCTCCTAGACCGGTTGACAGCCAAGGCTATAGAACCCATTTGTGTTGGATATGGTTGTACAAGGGTTTGGCTGAAATATTAATAGGCTGAATATGAAGGGGTGATGCTAGCATTCATTTTTAAATCTTTTATTAAACTGTTTCTTTGAAAACCTGCTATGAATGCATTGATATTTCAACTCTTTTTATTAATAAACTGAACTGTTTCTTTCCAGGCATTCATTTTAAATCTTTTATTAATAACTGACTTGTTTCTTTCCAGGTACGAGTGTGGGCTGAAAGTAGGCTGAAAAGGGGTTCATAGGCTGACTATGCATTCATTTTAAATCTTTTTATTAATGACACAAGAGCTGTGATATCTTGCATGCATTCATTTTAAATCTTTTTATTAATAACTGACTTGTTTCTTTCCAGGTACGAGTGTGGGCTGAAAAGTTCATAGGCTGACTATGAAGGGGTGACACAAGAGCTGTGATATCTTGCATGCATTCATTTTAAATCTTTTAATAACTGCATTGTTTCTTTCCAGGTACGAGGATGGGAGGAAAGTTCATAGGCTGACTATGAAGGAGTGATGCTAGAACTGTGAAATTTTGTAGACATTAATTTCAACTCTTATTAATAACAGCGTTGTTTCTATCCAGATACGAGACTGGACTGAAAATGGCATAGGCTGAATATGAAGAAGTGGTGTTAAAGCTGTGAAATCTTGCATGCATTCATTTCAATTTTTTTAATTAATGAATTTATTGTTTCTTTCTGAGTCTGAAGATGTACTGAATGTTTCATGGACTATGAAGGAGTGATGCAACAACTGAAATGGATATCCGTTGAAAAAACTCCAGTTTTCGTCCGATCACCGAAGCTAAGCAACGTTGAGCCCGGTCAGTAGCTAGATGGGTGACCGCTTGGGAATACCAGGTGCTGTAAGCTTGGATGTGCGGGTGGTGTAATGGATAACGCAAGTGTAAATCGAAGAGCCAAGTTCCACTTCAAGTCGGGTTCACTTACGCACAAATACCGTTGAGAAAAATATGAATTCACCTCTTTTCTCCCCACTATGGGTTAATTAGTAGGACTTGTATCACTAAATCTTTATTCTCTTTAAAAAAAAAAATTACTATCCGAAAATATATCCTGGCTTTAAATAACCTGCAAAAGGTTAAAAATCCGTGAAAAACAAATTAGCGAATCAATCAATGAAATCGATACTGTTGTCGAGTAGGATTCACCGTGCTTCCTGCTCTTCCCTAATACGACAATGGACTGATCCTGTTTATAGATATGGCAGGGAGCTACGTCAAAGGAGGGCGTTTTTCAGCTCCCCCATGTTGCTACCGAATGTGACAGAAAGTCAAGGTTTAAAATGGGTTTAACAGCAAAAATCGTTCAAAGATTGCCCAAGTCCCCCACAACTGTTCTCCATATGGGGACGCCTCAGGCACCGGACAATAAACCCAGACCCCTTCCAAAGGAGAGGTACTACCTGGGGTGAATAAAATAATGAAAACAAGAAAGAAAGAAGATAAGGGAAAACGAAGAAAATAAAGAATATAAAACAAAAGAAGGAAAGAAAGAAGAAGTATACAGGGAAAAGAGGAGTTAAAAATAAAGAGAAAAATTTAAAAAAAAGTAAAACTGTAAGAGAAAGAAAGAGAATGAAACAATGAAAAGAAAGAAGATAAGAAAAAAGAAAACAAAGAAGAGACGGAAAATGTAAGAAAAAAAAACGAAAAAGAGGAAACAATGGATGGAAAAGAAATAAAAGAAATATAAAGAAAGAAAGAAAAAGAAAAAGATAAGAAAAGATAGAAAATGTTAAGCAAAAGCAAGAAAAAGTGAAAATATAAGAAAAGGAATATAAAAGGAAAATAAATTTAAGAAAATGAGTGAAAAATAATGAAAAAAATAAAGAAAAAATGGTGAAAAGGAAAGAAAAAGAAAAACTAAAGAAATGAGGATAAGAAAAAATTTAAGAAAAAGAAAAAAAAGAAAAAAGGTCAGAAGAAAGGTCATTGAAAAAAGAATAAAGAGATAAAAGATGACGAAAAGACGAAAGAAAAAAAAATAGATGAAGAAAGAAAGAAAAAAGATAAAATGTATAGTCACAAGAAAAAAACGAAAAAAAAATGAAAGGAAAAAGTCTGAAAGAGACTGAAAGAAAGAAAGAAAGAAATAAAGAAAGAAAAAGAAAGAAAGAAAGAAAGAAAGAAAGAAAGAAAAAGAAAGAAAACCAAAGAAAGGAAGATAAGAAAAAGACAGAATATTGAAGAAAGAAGATGGGAAGTGAGAGAAAATGAAAGAGAACGAGAAAGAAGTTAAGAAAGAATGAGAAGATGACTGAAAGAAAGTATGAAAGAGAACAAAAGAAATTATGAAAAATAGATGAAGAAATAAAGAAAGGAAGGACAAAGAAAGAAGAAAAATGTTTTACGCGATATAAAAGACAGAACTCTAGAGTCACATAAAAGAAGAAAAGAAATTATGAAAAGAAAGAAAGAAAGAAAGAAAGGTGGTAAAAAGCCTGGAGATAAGAAGAAAAACAGCAAACAAAATGAAAGAAAAAAAATAAGAAAAATTGAAAGATGTGAAGAATGAAAGAACTTGGGAAAGAAAGGGAATATCAATGAAAAGTATGAAAAAAAATGAAGAAAAAAAAACAGAAGAAAAAGAAAAGGAGCTAAAATGACAGATAAAAAAAGAAAGGAAAAAGAAAAGAAAAGCCCGAAAAATGAAAAAAAAGCACAAAGTAAAAAGAAGAAAAAAAATTTTTTTTTTTGTTAAAATGCCATCAAGAATTGGATTCATTAATAACGAACTCTTTATTGAACAGAATTGATTTTTTCTATCAGATCGATAATTGAACGTAGAAGATCAACACTCAACAAATCCTCCTTAAACTTGCACACTCCCCAACCCTGACATAAAGTTCAATAGATAAATAAGTAGCCAACATAATAGGTTAAATACATTTTGTCTGCATGTTAAACAATGTTTGAAGACGTTCTTAAATGTGATTGGATAAAAAATAGTTAAAAAAATAAATCTTTTCTTGTTAACTAAGTCGGTTTGAATTGTTCAAATCAGACCAACGGTACCCACTATGTTTTTTTTTTTAATCAGTTGACCGCGTACACGGGAATAATGACGCGAAAACGCAAGGGGTTACTGGTGGTAAAATAAAAGAAATCAGAAACTCAATCCTAAACAGGACAAAAAGTATAAATTTCTACAACTGTTCCAAAGATCGGGGGTGGAGAGTGAACTGGATGATCGGCGAACCTATCTACTTCTGTCGAAAATTATTATGCAGTTTCGTTTTACCCCTATTTCAGTCAACGATTATTTTTCATTTAACCACGATTTCAGTTAACAATTTTTTTTATTTAACTACATTTCAGTTAACGATTTTTTTTCATTTAACCACGATTTCAGACAACAATATTTTTTATTTAACTACGATTTCAGTTAACGATTTTTTACATCTAACCACGATTTCAGTTAACGATATTTTTCATTTAACCTCGATTTCAGTTAACGATTTTTTTCATTTAACCACGATTTCAGTTAACGATATTTTTCATTTAACCACGATTTCTGTCAACAATTTCTTTATTTAACCACGATTTCAGTTAACGATTTTTTTTTATTTAACCTCAATTTCAGTTAACGATTTTTTTCATTTAACCACGATTTCAGTTAACGATTTTTTTCATTTAACCACGATTTCAGTTAACAATTTTTTTTATTTAACTACGATTTCAGTTAACGATTTTTTTTCATTTAACCACGATTTCAGTTAACGATTTTTTTCATTTAACCACGATTTCAGTCAACGATTTTTTTTTCATTTAACCACGATTTCTATCATCAATTTCTTTCTTTAATTACGATTTCAGTTAACGATTTTTTTTCATTTAACCACGATTTCTGTCAACAATTTATTTATTTAACCACGATTTCCGTTAACGATTTTTTTTATTTAACCTCGATTTCAGTTAACGATTTTTTTCATTTAACCACGATTTCAGTTAACGATTTTTTTCATTTAACCACGATTTCTGTTAACAATTTTTTTATTTAACTACGATTTCAGTTAACGATTTTTTTTCATTTAACCACGATTTCTGTCAACAATTTCTTTCTTTAACCACGATTTCAGTTAACGATTTTTTTCATTTAACCATAATTTCTGTCAGCGTTTTTTTTTTATTTAACGACGATTTCAGTTAATAATTTTTTTCATTTAACCACGATTTCAGTCAACAATTTTTTTTATTTAACCACGATTTCAGTTAACGATTTTATTTCACTTAACTACGATATCAGTCAACCTTAAACCCAAGAAAAATGGTTTTACTTAATAAAATCCCAAAATTCTGAGAACAGTTTTAGTGCAATTCGGATAGTACAAAAAAAAAATCTGTAAAGTGTTTCCTTGGTTGATATAGACATTATTATAGACACAACGTTTTGACCAACTACACTCTGACTATCATCAGGTGTACACTGATATGTGATATACGTTGATTAATGTGATATTTTTCGTTCTTGCTGAATCAACGCTTCACTACCTGATCCCGGGTTTGAACTAGATGACAGTAATACATGTAAGATTATGCATATAATCATCTCCTATATCCACTAATCTACTGTCATCAACAGGGTAAAACATCACAATAATCAACACATATGCCATATCAGCTAATCAATGGACACCTGATGATGACCAGGGTATACTTAGTCGAAACGTTGTGCCTAAAAATGAAAATAATAGTTCGGAATAATGCAATTATATTGACTCAGCTCTGAAATTACAGAAAATACAGAATTAGCTATCGGTCGCATGAGTTTTTATTAAAGTATATCGTTAGAACTGATTGTCTTTTAATCCAAGATTTACCTTACCCCCCTCCCCACCACCACCACCACCACACACACACTGAGCCAGGTTTTTAACTTGCGGACCCGCGGGTTCCCGCTCGGACCGTTGGATTAGCTTGTCTAATCCAGACGAAGTTTGTCTAAGCGGGTCTGAGCTGATCAAAACTTGTTTAAGCTGATCAAAACTTGTTTAAGCTAGTCTTAGCTTGTTTAAGCTGGTCTTAGATTGTCTAAGCTGGTCTTAGCTTGTCTAATCTAGACGAAGTTTGTCTAAGCTGGTCATAGCTTGTCTAAGCAGGTCAGAGCTTGTCTAAGCTGGTTTTAGCTTGTCTAAGCTTGTCTGAGCTGATCAAAACTTGTTTAAGCTGGTCTTAGCTTGTCGAAGCTGGTTTTAGTTTGTCTAATCTAGAAAGTTTGTGTAAGCTGGTCATAGCTTGTCTAAGCTGGTCAGAGCTTGTCTAAGCTGGTTTTAGCTTGTCTAATCTGGTTTTAGCTTGTCTAAGCTTGTCAAAACTTGTCAGAGCTTGTATAAGTTGGTCAAAGCTTGTCTAAGCTGGTCTTAACTTGTCTAAACTCGTCTAAACTTTTCTAACCCGGTCTTAGCTCGTCTATGCTGCTCAAAGCTTGTTTAAGCTGGTCAAAGCTTGTATAAGCTGGTAAAATTTTGTCTAGGCAAGTCATAACCGGTCATGCCACCGCTAGGTAACCGATGTCAGGCAACATCGGCAAGGGAGGAGAGAGATGGTCTCCGGCACGGAACAGATACTACATCTACAGCAGCATCCATCCCGACAGGAAAATCCCACCTATCAATCCCTCCCCAGAAGAATCAGGGAGGGAAGCCCCTCATTGTATTTTAGTCCATGTTCTTAATCTCTTATTTTACCATCTACGATAAGAACGAAGAGGATGCCGTTGCCAGCAAGCTTAATCTCAAACAAAAACCATTACAGTTTGCCGGCCACTGCCATGAGAGAGACAGGGAAATCGTCTCAACCTTATTGCTATGGCATCCTTCTGGAAATGTCTTCTCACGAAAATTGACTT